ATGGTTCTCTTCCAATTGTTTGCAGTGATGCAACTTGAAATCATAATTATTTGATTTCAAAGGAAGTGAAGTAATTTATATATATATATATATATATATATATATATATACAAACACACATACTTAAATTAATTAATAAATTATATATAACGTAAATATATTTCATGTATAATAATGATCTTTTAACATTTTATTGCTAACGCTTATGGCATAAATCTTTAATTGGGTTGATATAATCCCTTTATATTTGTGACAATATCTTGCAATTTTGGTTGAGTCACACACAGACTTCAACATTCAGCATGCAAACCACAACAGTGGTAACATTTTAAAAAACTCATTTAATTAATTAGACATTACAATTTTATTTGCTGTCTCTTTTCAGTATAACCCCAATAACGATAGCCAATAAAATTGTAATAAAGCCAAAAATAGTAAAATAAAGCAATAAATTTATTCATGCCGCAATGCACTCTGGGAGTACACTTCCTCGGTTCACAGATACTGGAAAGTAAAAGATCAAGTAAAGTATAGAAATGATTTTAAGTTACTGGAACTCTCTTGTAAGTGTACACTACTAAGCATGCACTTGTTAGGACTACATATTATTCCTATTTCACTTTACTCCATTTTTTGAGTGCAATCGGTTTGCATGATTTTTTCAAGTAAGGTGTACTAATTGGATTTTACAGTGTTGAAGCTAAACTGTGCAGAGCTGTGGCCCTCCAGGAATTGAGTTTGAGATCACTGCTTTAAAGGATAAACTTCTCTGTTTTAAGCATGTTGTTGTTGTGTAAACGTACCTTAAATCATGTTTTTAGCAAATTAACACACCTAAACCAGCTAATTAAGGTGTTCAGGGTTACTTGAAAATTAATTACAGACAGTTGTAGCATACTGGAGCAGGTTGGAATGGAGTCTGTGGAAGGTAGCGCTATAGGACCAGAGCTGGCTACTCTTGATTCAGTGTTTGGTTGAATTCCAATGTAGAGAATTCATACACTGCCAATGCCGAACTTCCCTCAATGTCAGTATGCATTGCCACAATGAGAATAGTTTATTGCCTCTCCTCTGAAAGCCATCTGTTCATCAGCAGCCCTGAGTGTGTGCCACTGCCAAACACTGCTGCAATTTCAGGTGAGGTGTAATGGACCAACTGCAGAGGCTAGGATGCTGCTAATGGAGACACTGAAATGCAGCAGTGAGCATTTTCAGTAGAGACCTTTTTCAAAAACATTACATTTTTACCAATCCTAACCTTTTGAACGGCAGTGTACTTTTGTTTACATGTACACTGGTTTTATGTTGCTTGGATGCTTGGCTTTGGCAGATCTAATTTGTGCAAGAATCTCCTGAACAGTGTGAGGGAACGCCAACTGAAGCTGGAGATTAAGAAGCTATCAATCTCCACTCTGTTCTAAAGATGGGACAGAAGACGGGGGCAAGGGAGTATTGATTAAACCCAAATCATGCTGCCAGAACCCGCACAGCACCCATAAGCAAACCCGACGGCTCTGAGCTGTGCAGGAAAACAAAAGAGGAATGGGGGCTTAAGTTTACTCGTGAAAATATTCGAAGTAACAGATCACATATATTAGTCCATATTTATTTTGTTTTTTTCTTTAGATTTGACTAAACTTGTATTTACTGGACTATAATATAAAATTAATAAAATTTAATATAGATATAAAAATGTATGAATGACATTTATAAAAATGTAGATGAAAAAAATTATATAGATCAGAACGTATTTAAATGTGCTCTAAGCGATGTTGGGTGTCGTCACTTCTTGTTGACGTTCGAAGTATTGTCAGACAAAATGGAGGCTAGACCCTCCTCCCCTTCCCTTGTGTTGGTTAGGCGAACATGAATGTCCATCCATTTAGAAAAACCATTAGCTAGAATTAGCTAGTAATAATTACGTTACATTGTTACAATGTAGTTGACTGACTGTCCTTTCAACTTTTGACAATGTGACTGAAGTATTTCTTTAATAGCGCGTGACAGTTATAGCAATGAGACGTATCATCTCTCCTTGGCCTGTTATATTGAAAATGTATGTTTTACAATATGCAGTATGACGTTATTCATTGCTACATTATGGCTCATCATAGACTAGCTAACCACAAAGCTAGCTAATGCCACTATCATCAGTCTGTTCTGTTGTGACAATAAAAGAAACAAGTTTCTTTTTAAAATGCATTATCATATTATTTTAGTTAAAACTCATAAATAACTACAAATAACTAATGTTAGGGAAATCTGTTAATGTTTTCTTGCATGTTTCTGAAAAAATAAATAAATAAATATCGGCTGATATATCGGAATATCGGATTTTAAAACCAACAAATATTTGTATCGGTATCGGCCTTCAAAATCCTTTATCGGTCGGGCTCTACTAGAAAAATTATTTTCACTAGAGCCCAATACAAGTCTCACGTATCTAATAATTGTATCTTCAACATACAGCCTGCAGTAGAAAATGAAGACCTGTAAAATGAGTTGTTTGCTGACATTCTTCTGTTGAATGAGTCGATCATGCCTTGGGTTACATTTCCCTGACACTTCTTTACACATCTTTACACATCATTTACACATGAGCTCATGTAGTCAACAACATTTTGGCCATTTTATCAAAATACAGACAAAATGCATCAAAATGCATTTAATACTAATAATAGTATTTCACTTTTTTGCCAATTACCGTGACATTTTATGGTTAAATGAACTGCTTTTTCCAGTGCACATAATTATCATTCTAAACTACAACATACTGTCAACAAGTAATACTGAAAAATAGAATTAAATGAGCACAACTGCCCATTCACATTTAGTTAAAATGCTATTGAGAATAAATTTCCCCAACAACAACCTTTTCTTCAAACAAACACAAACATCATGCCTTAGTAGTGGCATGATCAGCACAAAAAGCCAACAACACATAATATAAAGAGCCAGTGTAATGTCTTCATCACTGTCTCTGTCCCCATGGTTTCCTGTCTCTCTCCATTTGTCCAGCCCGATCTCATGAAAGTTCATATCTATGGCACGAATGTCATTTCTCGTGGCATTTATACGCCAAAAACAGTTTTTGCGTGTATATGGCACGCGATTTTCGCGTACATATGATACGCACTTTTTTGCGTATAATACGCACGAACTCCCCACCCCCCTCCCCCCTAAACCTAACCCAGGGTTTTTTAGTGCGTACCATATACACGAAAAAAACACTTTTGGCGTATAAATCCCACGAGAAATGACACTCGTGGTATAGATACGCATCTTCATGAGACTGTGTTGATTTGTCCTGTGCTTAAAGGCATTAAAAGTCCATAAATAGAAAAAAAAAAAGAGAGAGAAAGCACTAAATTGGCACTGGCAGGTTGCATGTCTCTTTTTTTCCCCACAGCATTCCCATCGTCACACACACATGATTCTGATATAACAGAGTTTTCCAGAACCTAACGAGATGGACTCAAGCAGTATAGGTGCGAACACTGATCATGCATGTAAGTGTGTACAATGTGCATGTGTGTTTGGAGCGAAGCGTCTTGTGTTCGTCCATCCAGCAATGCTGGATTTCCATTCTTTATGCAAACATGCAGTGTTTTAACTTCTACTTCTAGCTCAGGGCAGGCTGGGAAAAAGCCGCATGATCTGAGGCAGTGAGAATGCGACACGCTGTCTAAACAGTTAGGAGCAGCTGCAGAGATCGGACTGTCTGATGACAGGAATATGCAAGGAGAACAACACCATCCACACTGCATGCTTTTCTCATTATGATTGACGTGCATCTCATGTGAAACCCAACATGGATAACTAAAAACTCTTTTCAAATCAACTGCCAGAGCTCTTTAAACATGTGTTAACACCACACTGTGGTCTGATCTGATGACAGCACTTCAGCTCTGATGGAATGGATCACACAGATGTCTTCTGTTTGCCCTTCTGAGATTATGGTCATTAACAGCCATGTGCTGCCCAATCATGTTAAATAACTATAGCAGTGAAATCTATAGACATATACCCCTCTCAAGCGGAGCTATGTTCTCTCGCTCTCACCTGTATAAGATTACAAGCAAAGAAAGAAAGAAATCAGATAATGTAGCAACCTAGCGACAGGTCCTTTAACAGATGTACAAAGAGATAAGAAAGGTGAGAACAACAAATTGACTAAGTCAAGTAATCAAATTTGGGACACTAACCATTGGGATTTTCAGATTTTCCACCAGTGAAGCATGCAAGATGCTCTCTGGAGTATTTTCAAATCATGCTGGTTAACATGGATCATCAGCTTTTTCAAATTAATTCACTCTTATTGTTATATTGCTGAACATATCATTTGCAATTAAAAAATGTAATAAATTAGAAAAATAATTTTCACTAGAGCCCAATAAAAGTCTCATGTATCTAGTAATTGTTTCTTCAACGTACAGCCTGCAGTAGAAAATGAAGACCTGTAAAATGAGTTGTTTGCTGACATTCTTCTGTTGAATGAGTCGATCATGCCTATTGGGTTACATTTTCCTGACACTTCTTTACATCAAAAACTTGACGTTATTATGGCATTCAACATCTTATAAGCTATTTTGTTTTGTTGCACATACAACACAAAAAGACAGCCATGTTTTGCTGGTGCCTCTTATGTAAGTCTGGGGAAAAGGTGCATCAAAACAGGGTACACAAAGAAAATCAATGCTAACAATTTTTTGATATAATGCCAAAGCCTACTATGACCAATCCTGTTTCCAATATTGCAATGAACCTCTATCAACTGAAAAACGATATGATTCATGCCAAACTGACAACAGCAGCTGGGAATAACTTCAGCCAACACACACACAAAAAAACAATCCTGCTTTAACTTACATAAGTGTATTATGCATGCTATAGCCTACACAACAAATACAAACTCAGCAAAATAAAAAAGAGAAGTATCTTCTATAAAAGCTTATCATATAATGTTTGGTATTTGCCTGACATTGCAGAGTTCTTCACACCTGCATTCCTCAGTTTCTTGTTCCTGTACACGGACAGGATGACCAGTAGATTTCCAAGGATATCAGCCACGGTAGTGAAGATCAGCACGCCGGCGAGGGTGGCCGCTACACCGGGAGACGTGTTCCTGGCGGGGAGGCTGGTGTTTCCCCGGGATAAACTATCCAGACAGCTCAAGTTCGCCTTCATCATCGCCATTCTTAGGGACCGGTGTAATGCCACATTAAAGTTTTTTTACATTGAACCACTCTTCAAGAGAAAAAAAAGTTGGCGCGAACAGGTATTCTCGTAGGCTACACGCTCCCGAAAATATTTCCCCAATCCATTCCACTTATAAAATATCACTGAGGACTTAAGAACCGAATGCAATGTAAAATCCCTTTTTTAACTTCCATAGCACGGTAGGCTAAATGTCACAGAAGAATCTCTGTGAATTTCCCAGAAGCTCCCATTCAATTCTATTGCATGTTTGGTCGTCGGTGCATTGTAAGCCCCACATATCTGGATTGTCAACTCGAATCACAGTGACTCACACACACTCCGGGCTGTTGCTCAGACGCCACACACATCACGGCACACAGACATCAGCGGCGGTCTGCGTCGCATCACCGGCGCCCGGAGCCTCCAGTCTCAGTCAGTTGTTCAGAGTCAGTCTGAGCAGCGATTAGCGTAACGAGTTGTGGATTCAGTCCAGACCTCCTCCGTTAAACTAGAGTTTGGAGGTTTATAAATAGGTGATTTTAATATGCATAACTATGTCAGCTACTATAATAATGTATATTTAATAGCCTACACACGCGCACACATACACACACACACACACACACATAGTGAAACAAATAAATGTTTGGTTAACCAGAAAAGGTAGGCTAATTTATGGAAGCTAGCTTCCATAATTAACAATAGTCAGGGCGCATATTTCCATGCGAACTTTAGGGCCGGTTCACATATCGCGTCTTTTGCGCGCTCAAGTTCGTTATTTCAAATGTAGGCGCGCGGTATGCGCGCTCATAATGGAAGCGGCGCGGTCGCGGTGCGACGCGCTCGTTTTTTCCAGGCGCGTCCGCGCCGCATCGAGATAAAAACATCTCAACTTTTCAGAATGCCGCAAGCGCACTGTAGGTCACGTGTCACGTCAACCAATCAGCTTCCTCGCCATTTTTGTTACCTCTTCTTAAAATATAATCAAACTGGTCCTTGTCCACTCTGAAATAGGCTTAAAGGCGCAACTGTTGGCTTGAAGAAGTAACTATAGCAACAGGATACCATTTCAGAGGATGTGTTGCACTTTATATTTGTCTCGTTATTTCCCTATAGCTTTTAATACATTTGGAAGTGTATTAAAAAAAACACCTTACTACCTTATTGAAAAATAATGTGGATAAAGTGGTGCAGCTATGACCACTTTGTAGGCCAAATGCAGTCGCTGGAAGGTCTTCTTCAACCGACGACTTCAACGTCACCACACAGTCTTCAGTTTTTATCTTTGTCCTAGAAAGTTTGAGTTAGAATACAAGAGCAAAATTATAAGCATAACAAGGCTGTAAAAGTGGACTAATTTTACTTGTTCGGCATGACATTTAGTGGTTGATTGGGGTCAGTTGATTGGGACATTTTTTCCAAGTTATGTCACTGGAAAGAAGTGTCCTGACTCCTGTCCCACTTTTTACAAGTTATCTCACTGGAAAAAAAAAAGTGTCCCTACAGGCTACCTGAATTCGTAATCTCCCTGACAGCCTCTGTAGTCCCACGAGTGTGGTAATACTGATTTATTGTATTTCATAGAATAAAATGTGAAAGTATCTTTATGTGTTCACCACCACAGACCTTTTTTTCAGCCATTTAACCAAACCTATTAATGTTGACTTTGGGACGATGGAACCTGAAGTGAAATTGTAAAAATGTGAACTTGTTTATTTGTTTTAGTATTTTTCCATTAATTTTCCCCATAAGGATTTAAAAAAAAAAATCTAAAATCCATTAAAGAGTTATAGCCTAAGCCATGGATCAAGACAATCAGATGAGGTAAATCACAACAAAAAAAGTATTTGAAAGTCAGACAAAAATATAAAGGTACAAGATAACTTTTTTAGTGAGGGAAGGAACTGCTATAGTGAACAGCATATTCAAATTAAAAATGGAGAAACATAAAACTATTAATTTACAAATGTTGATTTTATATATATTTATTTTGATTACCTGTTTTTCTTTTTTCTCCATTTTGTTCTTAACAGCTCCCATTCTCTGAGGTGGAGCAGTGATGAAATATTGTTGCTTTTTGAATGATGAAATAAACAAAATAATCTGTTTCACACAAGTAATAATCCACCCTGAATCTCTACAACCAGGCACCCACACAAATAAACACACAGTGACACACTTGCTGCTGCAGCATTTTAATAGGCTCATTCTTATGTGTTTATTTGGCTATAACAAATTTACACATGTGATTAATGAGATCGCAACAGCCAAGTTGACCAACAAGGGCAGGCTACAAATAAACAGTGACATCCTGATATGGGAGCTAGGACAGCTGAACACTAAACAATCTGTTGCTAAAAATAATCATCTGCATTCAATCACGTGTAGGCTACATACATTCACACTGCATGAGGTAACAATGATGTCAGTGTTCAATGGTGAGTTAAAATGAGTCTGAGCTTTATGGTAATGGTTGAGAGAGGATATATTCTTCCAATCACTGTACCTTTTAGGAAAAGAGTTATGTATTTATTATTATTGCAAAAAAAAAGGCAGCGAAGAAGAGTACAGTCATTAACAAGCTGATTTCATGCAGCCGCCATTTTGAAATCAAAAATGAGGCTCTAATGGGAAGCACCCAAGACAACCCCGGATAGACAACAATGCCTTGGACTACAAACCTGAAGCTGCTGCCGTCATTTACACTAGTGGATGTTAATATCCAATATAGGATATGTATATAGTTTGTTCCTGCTTCTTTTTTTACATTCTGAATTATATATAAAAAATTATTTATTTATAGTAGGCTATAGCTTCTGTAGTCTATAAAGAAATGTACATTTTTAGAATAACTAATTTGTACATTAAACACAACAATAGTCTGACTCAAATCTATGACTCTAAAAGGCGACACTTCCGGTTTTCTTCCCACCGGAGCAATTTCAAAATGGCAGCTGCGTGAAATCAGCGTATAGCCATGGGCTCATGCCTGTAGATGTCTGGTGTCTTGTTTATAATTCTATGCCATAAATTACTGTCTAGTGTGAAGTGCCCTCACTGAATGAATGTTCCATGCCAGCAATGTCATCAGTCAATCCTCAATGGAGATTTACGCTTCTGTTGAGCCAGCATTTTAGTCATTTTGTCATTCCTCATTCTGCAAATGTGTCAGAACAATCTCAGCTTTCTTTGAATAAACTCTTGAATGCATTTTTGTTACAAATTAATAAATACACTTGCACTGTTATAAAAAACTTTATTCACCCTTAAAAGGTTCAAAATCTGATGCACCTTTTATTGGTTATCGGGGGTTATTGCATTAGTGCCATGGCCTGGATAGGAGTGAGGTTTAGGGGGTGAGGGTATAATGGAGGCTAGCTAACTCACTCACTTGGCTTATAGAAGAAAGCTAGAGACTGTGTCCTTGTAATCATACCGCCTCCCATGATGGAAACGCTATTGAAATCCTGTCCTGGTTATCCATCAACAGAGATTTGATCAGACTTACCAACGACTATGGAACTTTAAACCCGAAACAAAGTGAAGAGACTAGCAAAGGCCAACATCAGAAACACTGCCAAGTTTCCAAGTGTGAGGCATCCACTGCCTACGCTGTAAAAATAGTTTTATAAGTCTCTTAGAACAAGATACACAAATGTCATTTTAAATAAAGAAGCAAGAAGAAAAACAGCTTATAGATAGATACAGACATACAGACACTACAGACATGATTTGAACAGGTTTTCTAAAATGACCGCATTGGAAATGAATAGGAGACGTTTTTCATTTGGGTGCGTCCAAACAAAATCTTATTGAAAGCTCTTCTTTTTTTTTTTATTAAGATATTAGGCTCAATTTTTGAACACAAATTGTTTAGATTTAGGCTATGACATTGATTGTCTTATAGTTTTAGAGTTTTAAGCATGTTTTTTGAAAATATATATTTCATATTAAATTAACATAGTATTTTTGCACATTTTTCATAACAATAAACGTAAAATTCTGTCTTTTTTTTAAAGTTCACTTTTTAAAACTTCACGTCAGCAATAATCTGCTAAGTGTCGTATTTGAAAAGGGATCAAACTCTGTGCTCTCTAAAGCATTCAAGATTTACAACAGTTTAAGTTGGAAATTACATTTGTCTATGCTCAAAAAGTGAATAAATGGATTATAAATACAGCATAAATATAATTTTGTACCATAAATTCCCTATAATACAACATATTAAATACAAAACATTAGCAAAGTAAAATATAGTTGCCTACATTAATTTCACTGACATTTTTTTTTATTTCGATCATTTTTGACCGACATGCAAAGAGCACCTAAGCACAATAATAAACAAACACAAACAAACAACAAAAGCATAAACAAACAAATTAATTAAAATAAATAGAATAATTACCAGAACATTTCCTGGTACAGAAACCAAACTTTCAGTATTGCATTCATATTAAAATAATTATTGTAAAAACTTTTAATATTTAAAAAAATTTAAAATTATTGTAAAAAAAAAATTTGCAAACTATACGGACTAACATAGGCTTAATAAGAATTGTAGCCTACTCCTTCTAAAGGCTGAATAAATAAATCAATTTACTCGCTTATGTTATGTTGTATTATAGCCTCCAAAAGATTTCTAGAACTAAAGTTCATAGTTCTTGCGGTGCGCACGCGGCAACATCCGATACTTTCGCCAAGTTTTAGGTCTAGGCAGAGCCAATACATGGCTCTGGGTCTAGGAACTATGAAAAAGTTCCGAAAGCCCCTTATTATGCTTATTATGCAGGCAAACCTGTCCGATGTGAGCATGCGCACTAGACTGTGTTGCGTAAACGCGGAATCGGCTGTTGTCAAGAAACTGTTTTGTAGTTGAGTTATAAAGTCTTTTGTTTCGTCCTTGCTAATTTTCTAAGCAAAGTGTCCTTGTCTCTACAGAACCCATTTATCATCAAACCAATCTGATCCATAGATCTGATCCCGCTACCTACTAGGCATTCAGATATGAGTGACGAGGATGAAAGAGACAGAAAGAAGATGAAAAGAAAAACTGGTCCGAATGATTCAAAGGCTCCTGAGAAGAAGAGACAGAAAATAAAAGACAAAAACGAAGAAAAGAGCAGCGCAGTCAAGAAATCACGCGGTATCTATCTATCTATCTATCTATCTATCTATCTATCTATCTATCTATCTATCTATCTATCTATCTATCTATCTATCTATCTATCTATCTATCTATCTATCTATCTATCTATCTATCTATCTATCTATCTATTATCTAACTGTTATCTAATCAGCGTTTGTGAAACTTCGTTTATCTAGGTTTTCACATTTTCCACGTTAATGAAACCCTACATTATCAATAATAATATATTGTTGTTAGATTTTTGTGTTTATTAAAATACTCAGACGTTTAAAAAAAGTCCTCCCACCTTCAATAGCTTTCAACATCTTTTTTTACATTTATTTACAGTTTTTCTCAGTCGCTT